AACTAGATAAAACAGTATTTATAAAACCATGCTGATGGGCTTATAATGTATAAAGATATAATTTGTATGACAATAGGAGGAGGATAGAGGGGACAGAATTGTATTGGAGCAAAGTTTTTGTATACCATTCTAATTGATTCCTGCGCTTTATGTAAATTATACCTTTATTTTTTATTTTTATTTTTTAAATAGGTGGAGGAAGACTTTTGGATAGTATAATGATACTTGTAGAAACAAGGAACCCTGGGACCTGAAGCTGGTTATCTGGCAATGATCAGGAATTACAACATAGCTAGGTCTCATGTCTAGAATATAGTTTGGGCTACATTCAGGATCTAATACAACTCTATTGAGTTTAGGCACCAACATTGCCCCTTCCTCAGAAACAGAAGTTCATTGATCCTTACAAATATTATTAACCTATTGTTGCAAATATTAACCTATCTCCAACAAATAAATGTCTGCCTCGCTGTGTATTTTTTATTCTCCTTTCACTACTAACACACATTTTTTATCTCACAGTTTGTATGACTTCCTAAAAAAACTATGATTGGTCTAGGTATTATCGTTCATATCAAGCAACGTTTTTATGCCAAGACAACTAATGAACTGATAACTGTTCTATCAATTGGCTATGTTTCAGTCAGAGATTATCAGCTGGAGTCAGTATGATTAGGTTAAGTGCTCAAAAATGGCCACGTAAGCTTAACCATAAAGCTAGAGTTGCTTTGCTACGCCTGGGACTCTGAACATGGCATTTGTCCTCCGAAGGGGATGGGGTAAGCACGTAAAAGAAAACCGCCTCTCCAGAGTATTCTACAAAAAATAACTCTTTACCTCCTTTCTTCCATAGCCCTTTCTTTGCTGAGTAAATCATGAACCTTCAAAGGAGAAAGATGTCAAGAAATTTTTATTGCAAAAAAAGATAATAAATTTATTGAATCAAAGTAAGAATCAAAGACTATAAGAGACTCACCAACATATTAAGAAAATGTATAGATATATGCCTGTAACAGTTTGTAATCTTTCTATCAAGTTCAGAATTAAATATTCTTACAGGATTGTCCTTTTTGTATCCATTGCTCTGCCATTCCACTCCATTATATAATAAGCCCAATTTAGAAAGGCGGATAGTGAGACTCTGAAATATTTCCCTCCTGAGGTTATCATTAGAATCTTAGCACTTATTAAACTTAACATGAACAATTTACTTTTCATTTTGATGAAAAGAATAGGCTTTAATATTTATATTTTACAATAGTGACTGATTAACTGTAATGGCTAGGGTACTCTATTTTAGAGACTTATGATAATTCTCTAAGAATTATGCCAATACCTTATTCATTTCTGTAGTGCTATTTAAACATTATTCTTCACACAAAATTCTTATAAAAAGTTATGTCTCTATTGACAATAAAAAACAATTGAAAAGTAGCAACCTTTTTCTCAGTGCTTCAAGACTTCATATAAACTATGCAAATTAATGCTGTTGACATTTTAATATATATTTAATTATATATTTGGCAAATTTGTTTTAAAGATGAACTATGATTAATCACAGAATTTTCATTTTGCTACATAGAACTTTTCTCCTACAAAATGTCCACTCTACCCCCAACGTTAAAACAAAACACACTCCTAAAAAGCAATCTTTATAATCCAACAGTTAAATGAAGTTCCTCTTCACTTAAGGGGAGGGCATGAGTCCTATACATTAATTATTCTGCCCTGATACAGGACTTGCCTCTACCAAAATAGAATCCCAGCAAGGAATATTAGCTCTCCATGCCCATTCTACCTTGCTAAAAATTTAGAGAGGTAAAATGAAGAATCTAATAGAAGTTCTCAACAGGTAAGGAAATGGGAAGGCTCTCAACCTCAAACTAAATAATGATTGCATTGACAGTTTGGCACTTGCCAAATCAGGCAGGGTTTAAGCCTAAGTGGAAAAGAACATGGTGTATAATAGGTATTTTAAACATTCAAACAGAGAATGAAATCAAAGACACTGGTTTTAAAAAAAAAGTCTCGCTCAGCCAGCATGGCTCAGTGGTTGAGCGTCGACTTATGAACCAGGAAGTCACAGTTCGATTCCTGGTCAGGGCACATGCCTGGGTTGCGGGCTCCATCCCGTGTAGGGCATACAGGAAGCAGCTGATCAATGATTCTCTCTCATCATTGATGTTTCTATCTTTCCCTCCCTCTCCCTTCCTCTCTGAAATCAATAAAAAAATATATATATTTTAAAAGTGTCAGTAGTTATAATGCACTGTATCACCTTCCCCTCTGTAACTAAAATGGCTATTAAATGTAACCTAGTTATATCGTTTTTGGGGGGATTTTTTTACTTTCTCTAATACTAAGGTAAAATACACTATGGAAATCTGCATGGAATGTTGGTTCTTTATTTTTAGCAGGTTCGGTGTTACATAGTTTTACTCCTTTCAAGTACATGAGAAAATATGACCCCCCAAAATACAAAAACATATCTGGTCTTGTATTATATTAAATCTTGATCTCTACCATTTAATATAAAATGTATTTTGGGGGGTTTCTGTTAAGGCAAAATAGAAGTTTTTCATCAGAAAAAAAAGGGTTAAATGGCTAAGATATATCTTTTGTGGGATAAAATTCATCTTTATGTCCCTCTTCCACCAGTACTATCTTATCTGCCCTAATCCCTTCAAGGTTCAAGATCAGTAACACAAACAGAAATTTTCTAGTTTTCATTGTAGATTTTTTTCTTTTAAAATTGTTTTCAGGATGCTTTAAACATTAGCTTTACAACTATTATTTCAAATTTATGTTTACAATTCATCGTACAGCCCACATTCGGTAAGGTTAGGACTTTATACCTTTTTGGATCACAGTCCATTTAAGATTTTAACAAGAGCTCCTTCCAGAGAAACCAAAAATTACATCTAGTTTTACAAGAAATTCAGGGGTTTCAAGTCTCCACTGGTATCTGTTTAGCTGAAAAGTCCTAGTAATAAAGGAATGAAATAAAATAATAGGTTTAGATTGAAGGTTTAGATTTCAAAGGCTTAATATGTGTGTGTTTTTTAAAAAGCAAAGTCTATTTTAGGTGTTGAACAAATATTTTATGATTGGTCAAGCAAAGTTAAAATATTTACAAAGGAGGGAGTTTTTAGTTTTAGTCTTAGCTGATCTTACAAGAACTTTTCAAACTCTTATTAGATGTATACAGGCTGCAACAATTGTGCAAATGGAGATACTGCTATAAAGAGACATGTTCATAACCAATAAGCCAGTAAATATATACATGAACCAGAGGAGTTAATGTTCATCCTTGAAGCAAGAATTTATCAAAATTAATCAGTAAAAAAAAAAAAAATGCACAAAAATAGGCAGTACTTTCTAGTACTATTGATTTACAATAAACAGACCCTCAGATTTAGGTAGATTATTTGTTAAAACACCATCAGTTATCAATGTATGCTATATAGCAAGCATGTCAAACTCGCGGCCCACAACAAATATTTTTGTGATCCAACCAATATAAGGGTAAGAAACGTTTTAATAAAAATTTTGTGACTTAATTTTTACAATATCCTGTTATACATTATTATTAGTAATGAACTACAATGTTCACTAATGGCTGATTACAATAATTGTGTTGCATTCATTTCCCTTACACGTCTTACGCGCAGGCACATGATTTCTCTCCACTAATACTAGCAGTGAATATTTTAGCAACCGACTGCCATGTCATTAGTCTTGTACTGACTTGTTTGATGTGTGCAACAGGAAATATTTCGCTTTCAGAAAACAAGAAAAATAGGTTTATTTGGATTATGCTTATTAATTTGTGCAGTTATTCAGTGCTTGGTAAGTTAATGTTCAAGAAAAAATATTAATTTTTATTAAAATGTACTATTATTTTGTTAGCGATTACTCATTTATTTCAGCCCTTTGTATTCAGCATGTCTCTATGGAAATAAACCTACGTTTCTATGAAAATTGAAGCTTTTATTTTTTTGTGGCCCACATAAACTTAAACCTGTTTTATTTGGCTTGTGTTAGCTTTTGAGTTTGACGTGCTTGCTATATAGTCAAACATAGCTATTAATAAGTCATTCTGGATGCACTACAAGCATGTATCCAAATAACCAAATGACTACAATCTATACTAATAAAAGCATGATATGCTAATTAGACCGGACAGCCAAACTACCTTCCAGACGTTATTCCAGATGTCCTTCTGGACAAAGCCGCAGTGGCGGGGGCCGAGGCACAGGTGGTTAGGGGCAATCAGGCAGGCAGGGGAGCAGTTAGGGGTGATTAGGCAGGCAGGGGAGTGGTTAGGGGCATCAGGCAGAGGCAGTTAGAGGCGATCAGGCAGGCAGGCAGAATGGTTAGGGGCGATCAGGCAGGCAGGCAGAGTGGTTAGGGGTGATCAGACAGGCAGGCAGGGCAGCAGTTAGGAGCCAGCTGTCCCGGATTGCGAGGGTGCAGGCTGGGCTGAGGAACACCCCCCTCCAGTGCACAAATTTCATGCACCTGGCCTCTGGTCTATATATATAAAAGCCTAAGTGACTGTTACGACCAGGCGCTATGACAACACACTGACCATCAGGGGCAGACGCTCAATGCAGAAGCTGCCTCCTGGTGGTCAGTGCGCACCCACAGCCAACCTCCCATGGCTGGCCAAGCTCCTGCGGTCCCTCCCCCTGGCTAGCCAGCCCTGATCCCTGATCACTATCCAGACCGAGGGACCCCACCCATGCACGAATTTGTGCACTGGGCCTCTCGTTTAAAATAATTGTTAATTTCTAGAGCAAATGCAATTACTGGCTTCCACCTCATAGTTAAAAGCTTAAAAAATATTTTAAAACTTCAGTCATTAAATATTTGTACTTGAAAATATGTTGGAAAGTATGTATAATTTGTAATAACATGAATAAGAAAGAAATAAAAGGTAATTCTGGCAATGTGAGCGCCCTACTCCAAAAACTAAAAATCAAAAAACATTTCACATATGATAGTTAAGTGGGCTTTTTATTTATTCAAGTAAACATTTTGATTATAATACATGATAATTCATATGTGACACAGTACTGGAGTCTATTGTTTGGTGTAGTCTCCTTGTCTGCAGGATGACTTTTCTAGGTGATTCTGCAGGATCTGACATCAATGCCCAACACTGGCTTCCCAATGGCCATGCACGGGTTTAGAGGCCGCTGCCTTCATCTATCTTTCTTCGGATGCCAAATGCCATTTTCTCCCACCCAGTTTATCCTCCATTACTTATAAAAACCCACTCTAAAATTCAACCTATGTTATAAAGTTAAAAAAAAAAGGAGTTAGTGTATATTTTCCAAAAAAATATTACTAAGTAAGACTCTACTTATAATCTCTTTTTTTCCTCTAACTTCAATTTTGAATGATTTACTATATAATCTTTAAAAAGTCAGAGTAATACACAACACAAAATATGCAAAGAACCTTATTACCAAGTGTACATAATAAGTTGGAAATTTCTAAAGTACTAAAAAGCTTAATTCTCCTGGAATAGCCATTCTCTACTGGCAGCTATAGTTTACAAAGAGAAGACTGTGCTTTAATAAGTGGAAATACAGTACCTGATTTGGTATAAAGTAATTGTGAGATTTTTTCTCACCAGTAAAGTGCTTAATTAAGAAACATTCTTCCACCACATGATTTAATTTGTCAAAGGCACAAAATATCTCTGTCTTACTGCTTTAAACATTTTTTTCACTTAAATTTTACTTAATCTGAAAGCTTTACTGTTCTTTTTTTTTCTGGTAAAAAACAAACAAAAAAACTACTTGAAGAAAAAACATTTAATTTTTATTTTCAAAACTTTGCCACAAGCATGTATTCAACACTAAATTTGATCCCCTCATGAGATTTCTGTGTGCCATGTAGCTCTTATGACAAAAACATATGCAAACTTTAGGGTAAAAGTTAACAAGAAATAAAAACTCCAAAAAAGTGTGGACAGGGGAATCAATAAATTAAATATCATAGCTTTCATTTTATAAAAAAATAGTTTGAATAATCTTCTTATAAATCTTTAATGCCTACAAAAGCAGGAACTACATTTCAAATAGTCTTTTAAACACAGATTCATTAGTACAATGTGGTTGTGGTCAAAAAAAAATAACAACTAAAATGGCATTTCAGTCAACAGTCTAAATTCTCTTTTCAGAAAATTCCACATAGAATTTAACAACTTGCAATTCAAAATGAAGTTTTACTTTCAACAGGTCAGGACTGTTATAATTAATATCTGCTTATCACACTCTTTTCCATTGAATATATTTTACTAAAATTTTAAATACAGCTTGAGGATAGGAACTGATAACAATACCTGACTGCTTGGTTATGCTTTGCTGCCTAAAAAATACTTTGGTCAGTAAATTAAAAAGATATAAATCAAACAAGGCCTAAAAAGTTGTTTTAGGACAAATTTCCTGACCTTAAGTGAACTGTAAATACACTAACAAGTCAAGGAAAAATATAATCATGTATGCAGAGAGGTCTCTATTTTTTAACCATTTGGCATTTTATAGCAATAATTTCCTTGTTTAAAATAATATTTTATACTCCTGTTCACTGATTATCATAGCTCTCTGAATTAAAACTAAACTACAGTTACCTTTCTTAGAATGTCCAGTAATAAATGCATTAATTGTTCCTTTTGCACTTCCATGAAGACAGTCCTTCATCCTGTAACTTTTTAAGTTTTGGACCAAAACAGAACCACCACCCAAATCCAATAAGCACACAAATAATGGACTCCACATAATAGCCATCCAGCGCTGTAACACATGAGCCACCGAGTTTTTTGCAAAGCTGTAAAAATAAAACTATAATAAATATTCCATAATTTCAAAATGGAAGTATTTACAAACTGACATGTTTATACTTTGTAATTTAAAAGCCTGATCAAAATTTATTTTTGTTACATGTTAATATATCTTAATCTCTCTAATGCTACTAAGAAGGTTAGAGCAATTTTCAGCTCATGCTATAAACAATACTCCAAAAGTCAGCTAATGGTTACTTTGAAATAATCAACAAACTACTAACCACTTGGTTTTACCTATAATTGTTAAATGAATAGCTAATGAAATTTCCCTTTGACTGTCATTAAAAAACTTAACTATTAATAATGCACTTATTAAGTACCTATTGTGTACAACAGCGATCCTCAGTTAGAAAGAGTGACTGCTCCTCCCTTTTTGAGAAGCACCCTCAAGTAAACTACTCTTATTGATTTCAGTTGCATTAAAACCCTTAGTTATGATGGGAAAGATGTAGATTTCTGTACGAGAAACTATGGGCAGACATGGTTTTTAAAATAGATATAGTACTTCTAAAGGCAGAACGAGGAAATTAATGCCTTAATATTAGTTTAATGTTATTTAAAATTACAACATACTTACCTCAATAGTATCAGGTGTTCGACAACTCTGGTTTGATGCTCCTACACACTCTTTCACAGTTAGGGGATCCACTAACCAAAGAGCTACTGTAGAAGGCCAGTTTCCTCCCAGATTGGACACGGTGTTTAAAAGGGTCATATATGTTCCTCCAATAAGTGGATCACTAACCTTTGCATTAAAAGCCATTATGGAAACATACATACTGTACAATGTAACCTACAAGGAAAATGTAAAACATCTTTAATATGATTAGGCTTTATAAAGCTATAGTCTGAATTAAGAAAATCAAAATTATAAACCTTAAAATTAATTTTCATGACCCTTATTAAACTCAGGTAAAAAAACATTTATTGAACATTTTTTTTTTGACGAGGCTTTAGGCCAGATCATGACAATATAAAGATGACTAAGACAGTCTCTCTGTGCCCTTCAAGAATTTATTCTAGGCTGGGAAAATAGGTAATAAATAAATATGTTGAAATGCAGTAAGTATTCTAAACAGAAGTATACAAATTGTACTACTGGGGCTTAGATAAATGAGAGCTTAATTTACCATAAGTAGTCAAGGAAGACTCAAATGAGAAAATGACAGATGAGGTGGCCTTGAAGCAATATGCAAAACCCCATATTTGTACTGTACCTAAATATCTATATATATAGAGCCAGGGTTCGTAACGTCCTTTTGTGCACTGGGCCTCTAGTATCATATATGTGTGTATATTTATCTTATGTATATATGTATTATACATGTAAGCACTCAAATATAATTTTGTCTACATACATAGAAAAAAAAACATTTCAAAATGTATGTGACAAATTGAAGAAAAAAAAATCTTAAAGGCAAAAGTGCTTAAGAGGCAAGAATTAACCCTCCATTTAGGAATATGGAAATAAACCATGCTTCCAAGACAGCATTCCCTTGAATATTGTCCCATGGGATGTTACAATATCAAATAAGACTGAGAAACACTGTTACATAAAATTAAACAGGTCCCTTTCACTGTAGGCCTTTTGAAAGCCTTTAGGATATAAACTCCTTAGGGCAGGGATTTCGGCATGGTTTATTCATTGTTATACTTTAATACTTAGAATGTTTTCTATCACGGAATCAGTGTCCACTTCATATTTGTTGAAGGAATGATTAAGATGCTACATAAAGAGGGGTTGTGTCATGTATCATTTCTCAAATTTACTTGGCCTTGTACCTTTTCTCCCACAAAGCATCTGGTTGTCTGGGTTTCAATGACTACACTTTAAAAAATTCTCTAATGAAATCTAAAGCCAAATGAACGATTTTTGGACTACTACATCATAGTTTTCTTTTACTTAGGTAGTAAAGCATTTGTTAAGCTAAAGCACTTCTTTTAACTTTTATTTAACTAAGTCTGTGCAAAACAAAAGAAAATTACATTTGACACCCTGGCCTCGATGGTTTACATAGTTAGTCAGACATGATCCACTGGAATTCTTTTAAATGAGACAATTGGATGCAAAAAAATTATTGAGATTATTTGGTAGACATATTTTTAGTTTCAGTTAAAAACAAAGTGAGGAGTTGATAAATACAACTTTCAAAATGTAACTATAACTTTCAAACATTTAAGCTAGGTTTCATTGAAAAATCTAAAGCGACTCTAAAATACACATTAGCAATAACTGCAGTTGAGTCCCAAGGATTCTGCTGGGCATCTGCCATTTACTTGAATCACTTGCCCCCAAACAAAACCCCATTGTGCAACAGTAGCTTAGGTGAGGCTATAGCAAAGTGGGAATCACTTTTTTTAGGGATTACAAACATATTTAATAAAGAAAGAAAAACAGATTGACACACAGCTTCCAAAACCACAAAGAGTAAGTTATAACTTTTAAAACAGAATCTTAACCAAAAACCTGTAACCTTTAACCCAGTAGCCATCCTTATTTTTTAATACTTTCGGAAAGAAAAAAACATTGGGACTAGAGGAAAGAAAGAACCCAAGTCTAGGGATGGACTGAGAAATACTTAGTAAGGATAGAATTACTAGTTTGAAATAAATTCTGAAATGTAAAAAATATTTGTCAAATGAACAAAAAATGAAATAAATAAAGAAAAAACTCTTTTCATTAATCGAACTCATTAAATCAAAAGTAGTAAGGGTTAAAGTACACTGTCAAATAATTTCATTGTCAGATCTGTGTTTAAATCTTAAAATTTATTATCATTATTTTAAAGCCACTGTAGAAAAATGTCTTTTTTTATTTTACCAAGTACAGTTTACTTCCTCAGAAAACTACAAGAAGCTTACCTGGTGTAACGCATAACTCAGCAGCAGCATGATATAGTAATATACAGGGAATCCCCCTTGATGTTCTACTTCAGGAGTCCACCAAACCAGCAGAGCAAACTCTAATCCAAGCAATAATCTATAGGGGGGGAAAAAATGGAGCTGACTTCCATTTTAGGTTAAAAAACAACTAAAACAGAAATCTGTGTGTCTACCACAGGAAAGAAGCTTGTATCTAAAACCTATTAAGCTAAAAAAGAGAGAAAAGTATATATAAAAGATATTAAAGATGCTTTCAAGCCTTTTTCTATATATACTCTACACACAGATATTAGTGACACTAATGCATGTTCCTCATTTAACCTTTCTTATTTAAGAAGATTCTATTTTGTTTTTACCTGTAGGGCATGGCTTTGTAAAATACATCTAGTGGCCGGGGACCTGAAGTGTATTTGCTGATAATCAGAGGCAATATTATCTGTAAAGGAACCATTGGAACTGCCAATAAGGCTAAATGTTCTTTAGGTACTCCCTCTTCTACCAATTTCAGTCCTGTTACTGCATCTGCTGCTGAAAAACCAATCTGCAATATAAAAAGAGAAAAATATTTTAATTTGTGACTTAAGAAATATTTTCTTCCAAGCATATATAAGTTCTCAATAAACTCAATCTCACGATTAACCTCTGATAGTTACAAGTATGTTATTATATCTGGTACAACAATCAAGTTAGAGAAGGTGCACTTTGCCCTATGGTCTACTGACAATATTCAGTGAAAACAACTAAAAATTCAGCACTCTTAGGAACTGTAAATGGCTCTAATTACAACAAAATTTCCACTTCAAAAGTTCAATCTGTTAAAATAAAGTGTCCAAATCCAAACTTACTGATTTGTTTTTAAGTTTTTTTAAAAAAGTCATTAATTGACTCCAAATAAATCTGGTTAAAATGGAGAAATCACTGCCACATATACACATTTTTTATGATTTCTGACTGACCATAATACAAATTTCAAGTCTCCTAACATTTCAAAAGTAATTCTGAGAAAACATTATATCTGAGAAGTCGAATAAAATGAGGGAGAAGAAAAAAGTATAGTTAAATTAATTCTTAAAAACAACAACAAAAATAAGAGTAGTAAATAAAGGTTGAGGTGAATTAAGATATTTAGATAATCTCAAATTATTTCCCCATAAATTACTTTTTAATTACAAAAGGAAAGTAACGTTATAATGGGTTAACAAAGTAATCAAAGTTAACAACAGTTAGTGGAATAAAAGAACATGAAATGGCTTCTGAAATAATCCTTACTTCTATGATATTTCTGACATATTTGTATAACTGAGCCTAGAAATAAACATCAGACAAACATAAATGAAAGGCCAATATTCTTTAAAAATGTCCAGGTCATAAAGGCTAAAGAAAGGCTCATGCCAACTAAATGTAATGTGTGGTCCTGGATTGGATTCCTAATAAGAAAAAAATAGGTTATAAAGGCTATTACTGGGACAATGGGAGAAATTTAGATATGGACTATGATTAGGTATTAATATTGTATCAATTTAAAATATCCTGCCCTGACTGGGTGCCTCAGTTGATTGGAGCACTGTCCCATACACCAAAAGGTTGGCGGTTTGGATTTCCGGTCAGGGCACATACCTAGATTACAAGTTCCATCCTGTAACGGAGTGCATAGGGGAGGCAACTGATATATGTTTCTCTCTCACATTGATGTTTCTCTCTCTCTCTTTCTCTTCCATCCTCTCTCTACAAATCAGTGGAAACATATCCTCGGCTAAGGATAAAAAAAACAAAACCCTGATTATTTTATTAAGTGTGGCTTTGTCATTCTTAGGAAATACATACTTATGGTATTTATGGATAAAGGGTCATGGTATGTACAAATTACTCTCAAACATTTCAAAAGAAACAGGTAATAGAGTGCAAATTTACAAAATAAAGGGGAACTAAAAGTTAATAGAGAAGTTGGATAGGTTATATGTGAATTCTTTAAACAGTAAATTTTTAATAAGTATGAAACTCTATCAAATAAAAAAATTGTTTAAAGAAATATACTTTAACTTATTGGAATGGAGCCAAAAAGCAAATTTCACCATAAAAATATTAAAGGACAAAGATATTTAACTTAAGTCTAGAAAATAATTTCACCCATTCTCTTTGTAAAAATCAGATATACAAACTCACTTCAACATTTACTCTGTCTTAAAACTGGTATTGATAGGAGATATTTGTAATAGACACAACTAACAAAAACTTCAAATCTAGGATATATAAAAAGTCAAAATTCTACAAATTTAAAGAAAAAGTCAACTCTGCATATTCACATGGCCATAACCATATGAAAAATGCTCAACTTCTTTAGTCATCAGGGAAATGAAAATCATAACCATAATGAGATGCCTCTACATACCCACCAAAAAGGCTAACATTGAAAAGACAATCTGTTCTCAAGTCTGTGAACAACTGGAACTGTTTGTAATGCTGATGATAGGAGAATTGAAACAACAACCTCTTTGGAAACTTGTTTGGCAATACATACTAATGCAAATATTTATGACCCAACGATTCTACACTTAGGTATTTACTCATCTAAATGTTCACCTAGGTTCACCAAAAGTAATATATAAAAATATTAATAGACACAATATTCATAATAGTCCAAAAGTAGAAATAACCTAAATATTTGTTGATAAAATTGTGGCAAATTCATACAATGGAATGCTATAAGCAATGAGATGAACAAACTACTGCTAAAATTAACAATATAGATAAATTATACAAATACAGGGTGTCCCCAAAACTGTATAAATACTTTGAATACCGCTATTAATTCCAATGGCTTATATCTGAAAAGAAAGAAACATCAATTTTGCCATCAGCTGTTAAAGTGTGTTTTGGAACAATCTATATAATGTTGAATAAAAAAATATAAGAACTAGACATAAGAATACATACTGGATATTTCATTTATATAAAACTCAAGAGATTTCTGATACTAAAAGTTAAGAGAGATGTCACTTTTGGTGAGATTTACTTTAAAAGGAGAACATGGGATTCTAGACTCTGTAACTGAAGTACCTCCTTATATATATTACTGGGGACAGTAAAAATTATTATAATCTTTTAAAAAGTAATTTAGCAATTATATTTACTGACCTACTAACTGCCCATTTAAGAATTTATTGTTAGGAAATAGAACATCAAAGAAATACTTATGCAAAAAGTAGTCACTAGAACATTTTTATAATTAAAAACACTAAGCAAATTAAATATGCAACAGAAAAATGACTGAATAAATTATGGTAAATTTATACAATGTGACAATTATATAGTTATTTAAAAGTTTTCAAATATGATTTAATGATACAGGCACATGGAATCATAAGACCAAAATATGATAAAAACTTATATACAATATGATTCTATTACACTTTTAAAGTGTTTATGTTTATATATAAATATATATAGCATTAATGTCAAATTGATTATAAAAGTAATTTATTATATTTCTGTATATAAAGTATATGTATGCACACACACATACTATAGGGGAAAATATACCAAAGAAAATATACCAAAGGTGATTTCTATATGTAATTAGTTACCAAAGGTGATTTCTATATGTAATTAGTTAATATGGTCTTCCTTGAACCTTTTAGCATTTTCTACACTTGAACCTTAAGTTTCTCAAGTTTAAGCCTCCTTCATGTTTCCTTAAAATTTAACCCACCTTATCATTAGAGAGGAGGAAACACTATTTCAAAACACTGAAGCTACAATTTTTACCTCAGAGTTGTCAAAGATAGTTGTAAAGTGTTTATGTAGATAAGTTTAAATATTAATATGAAACTCCTATCACTGATTTTAGATTTTAGGAGTATTAATTCCAACAATAACAATAGCTCATTTTAACAAAGTATACTCACCTTTCTTCTAGCATATGTCTTTAAAATGTTTTAAAGCTATAAGATTAGGACATCTTAATACAGAAAACATAAAGAATAAAATCAATATCACCAAAATCCCCATTTCTTTTATGGTTTAAATAAACTTGTAAAAAATAAATAAATAAATTTGTAATAGTCATATATTTCTATATCATTGTAAATAACATCTTAAGTAAATAATTGTACTATATCTGATGTTAAGTGTGTACTCATTTTAATAGTAGAGAGCTATTATTTTTTTCAAGGCAGTCACTTGTATACTAAGCATTAATATCATTCATTAAATAAAATTTCACTTTTATTAGACTTACTTCAAATTGGTATACAGTGGGGCCTTGACTTACGAGTTTAATTCGTTCCGTGACGGAGCTAATAACTCAAATTACTCATATGTCAAATCACTGTGACGTTTGCTGCGCCAACTAGCGGTGGGGTATCTGAAGCTGGCTTGTAACCCAAATTTTTTTGAGCTTGCAACTCAAAGCAAAAAATCGGCCGAGAGATGGCTCGTATCTAAAAAAAACTCATTGGTCGGGACACTCGTAAGTCAAGGCCCCACTGTAATTCTTTTCAAAATCCCAAATATTTAGATTACTTTGAAGTTATATTTTATATCATCACACCTTTTTTGGTTTTTTTCTCTTTCTTTACTCATCACACCTTTTAAAACACATTTAATAAACCGAAAATTGTTTTTTGTTGTTAAATTCTAATAGTAGTGGAAAAGAACCTATGATATGAAAAGACAACAGAAGTATTTTACCATATTGGTAATTAAAACAGAATGGTAAATTAGCTTTATAAATCTCTTACCTTTGCAGTTAGAATCAGAAGGCAAAATGTCAGAACTGCCGGCATTTTTATAATTGCAAAGAGCAGCTTGTAAGTATCTGTGATGCCCTGGGTTTCTTCTTTTCCTACTGATACCTCTTTGTTTTCTTTTTTCACAATGGCAACTAAAGTTGTTGTTACCAAAAATACAGCTCCCCAGAAAAAAAGGAAATCTGAAATTTAAAATGTTAAAATCTGTAACTTCTGAAATGGCATAACTTCATTGAGAGTATATAATTCTATATATAATTATAGTAACTTTTCCTCACAAAACCTTGGTTTAAAAAAAGTAACACAATGTGCCTATCATGTTTAAGGTACCATAGTGCCAGGCAATACAGATGAATGAGGCAGTCCTAGCTCTGTTACAACATATATAGTACAGACTCAAACAAGGGGGTAAAAGGGGGTTACAGACATTTAATGGGTCGAATAAAACAAAAGTGTCATTTTATTCAAGAAAAGTTCTGGGACACCCTACCCAATTTGGCTCAGTGGATAAAACATCAGCCCACGAACTGAAGGGTCCTGGGTTCGATTCTGATAAAGGGCACACACCTTGGTTGCAGGCTCAATCCTCAGCCTTGATCCAACCAATTGATGTGTCTTTCTCACATCCATGTTTTTCTTTCTCTGTCTCTCCCCCTCCCTTCCACTCTCTAAAAATCTATGTTACTCCCTGGTGAGGAGTAGCAAAAAGAAAAAAGAAAGAAAAAGTTCTGGGAGATGATTTTCATATCCCATAAGCACCATCAGTCATAATTCTTAAGCAGCCAGCCTGATCGCCCCTAACTGCCCCCCCTGCCAGCCTGGTCACTCCCAGCTGCCTCCCCCTGCTGGCCTGGTCGCCCCCAACTGCCCCGCCCCGCCCCCCCCCCCCCGCCCCCCGGCCTGGTTGCCCCTAACTGCCAATTCTTAAATGGCACTTAAGCCATTTTAGTTCTTTATTAAATCATGACAATTTAGACAATAAACAGGTGATATTTTTATTTTTAAACTTTTTAAAAAACTGTTTAAGAATAGTCTTCTCTTTTCAATACTGAGATACAGAAACAATTTCTTCATATTTGTAGTTGCACAATGGGAGGACATGAAGATTACTGTTTGGGTTGTTTGGTGAAAGAGAGCTGGACCATCAGCCATTATTTTGAACAAATTAAGCAGGGGAAGTGAATAATGTTCTGAAAGATTCTATGTAATAGCTAAAAATAATAGTAATAATAAGGGCACCATTTATTGAGTATATATAATGTGCCATAAGTGTGCTGAGCATTTTACGTATGCCATCTCCTTTACTGCAACAACCCAATAGATTAGTCCCCATCCTAATATATAAAAAGCCAGGGGCCATCACAATTGAAACAACCAAATGGACAACCGAATAGCAGCCTGCATGGGAGGTTAGTGAGGGACGACCAAACGACTGAACAGCAGGCTACATGGGGTGACCAGGCCGGCAGGGGGGGCAATTGGGGATGACCAGGCCAGCATGGGGGGCAATTGGGGGCAACCAGGCTGGCGGGGGGTGTAGTTGGGGGCGACCAGGCTGGCAGGGAGGGGCAGTTGGCAGCGACCAGGCCAGTAGGGAGGGGGCAGTTGGGGGCGACCAGGCCAGCAGGGGGAGGCAGCTGGGAGTGACCAGGCCAGCAGGGGGGGCAGTTAGGGGCGATCAGGCTGGCAGGCAGGTGAGCAGTTAGGAGCCAGCGGTCCCTGATTGTGAGAGGGATGTCCTACTGTTGGTTTAGGCCCAATCCCCGGCTGGGCTGAGGGTACCCCCCCCCCCTACTCTGTGCACAAATTTCATGCACCAGGCTCTAGTCCTATATAATAAGACCCTAATATGCAAATTGACCAAACAGTGGAATGACTGGTCGCTATGATGCGCACTGACCACCAGATGCTCAATGCAGGAGCTGCCCCCTGGTTGTCAGTGTTTTCCCATAGGGGGAGCACCGCTCAGCCAGAAGCCGGGCTCATGGCTGGCGAGCTCAGCGGTGGTGGCGGGAGCCTCTCACGCCTCCAATGCAGGCAGGCAGCAAGGAGCGAGGGGTCCTGGACTGAGAGAGCCCCCGACTGCGAGAGGGATGTCGGACTGCCAGCTTAGGTCCGCCACCCCCACCCCCCCACAGGTGGACATCCCCCAAGGGGTCCCGGACTGCAAGGGGGCACAGGCCGGGCTGAGGGACCCGCCTGAGTGCACAAATTTCGTGTACTGGGTCTCTAGTTTATAGATAAAGAAAAAGGCTTATAGAGGTTATGCCTGAAGTTACATTCTAAGTCAGTGATAAAATTGTGATTTTTATGCCTTATATAATTAATTTCAAAACCTGAATCTCCTTAGCCAACCTGAGAAATGCATCTTAGTTTGCCACTATAAAGCTTATTGGATAACCCTATCCAGTTTCTTCATCTATAAAATAAAGGGCCTTGGCTAGAAAATCCCAGATGCTTTCTAGCTCTATCATTTTAAATTTATACTCAATTTTATATGTATTTAGTTGTTTTTTTATTGCTTATATAGCACAACTTACTGTTTATGGAGCCTAATCACCTTTTTTCAAAAACAAGTAGAGCTTTGTTCAATCAGGACTTTTGCTTTGCATTTAGTCTTGCTTCCCTGCTGTGATAGCTGAAGGTGACCACTACTACTTGAACCTCACTTATAATAGAGGCATATAGCAATTTTTGGTTAGACCAATTTTCACTTTAGTATTTAAATGTTCCTTTCTTATATGGTATCAGATTTGATTTCATAGCAAATATGTGAGTCAGGCAAAGCAGGCATTATTATTATAAAAACATGAGGAAAAGAAGCCCAGAATATTTAAATCTTTGCCAAAGGTACAAATTTTAAGAGGCAGAACTTGAATCTGAATTTGAGTTTTATAATCTTTCAATTATTTCACACTATCTGCATAAAATTTTTTAAAAAATAACATTGAAATAAGAATTTACTTGAATTGGCTAATTATTTAGTCTCCACAACCCCAACCAAAAACAGGACTATACCATAAAAAATGACACAAATTAAAGAAACTAAAATGCTTCAAGCACATATGAAAATTGGTATTCTGAGGTGAGTCCTTTCTCCAACATGGAAAAGTTACACTTGATTTTAGATATTAGAAGAAAAACACACAACATTCTTAAACGCACTGGTATTACTATTTTAAAATAGCAATCTATACAAGTTATGATTAAAGTTAATCAAAATAGCATCTTTACAATTTCTAGTTTATGTTAATAAAACATTTTGAATCTGATTCTAAAGGAATGAACAATTTAAGATTATTCTTTAAATAAGGCTAATGTTCATTATTTTTGCATCCTTAATGTCATCTGTGAAATAAGACAAATAATGACTTGTTTACAGAATTTCACCTACATTATTTCTTAATTCTTATATGTTTTTATTGATTTTTAGAGAGAGAGGAAGGGAGAGGGATAGACAGATAGAAACATCAATGAGAGAGAAACACCATCAACTGGCTGCCTCAAGTCCACAGTCCACAACCTGGGCATGTGCCCTGACTGGGAATCAAACCATGACCTCCAAGTCAACTACTGAGCCACACTGGCTGTGCTCATCTACTAGTACATTATTATTCACATTCAGAAAGATTTTGTTCCTCATTTGGTTTAAATGAACTGTTTAAGAAACCCTAAAAACATGTATTATTATCACCGTCACCAGAAATTTCAATTAATGGTCTGTACATAAATGTTAAGTGAAAATTAAAAGTTTGTCAGTTATATACCCCATTAAGAGTTCCAGTTCTCTTTTTTAAAAAATTTGCTTAGTATATTCCTCAATTTTAGTGAACAAAATCTTCATCTAGAATTTAAAGTCCTTGATACCAGTACCAGGAAGAAAAAAAAAAAGAATAAGAACAAGTTAAACAAGTTTCAGTATGTGCAGGTAGTATTATTTGTAATTTCTTTGTGCTCTGAGGATAAAACAACAGTGTACATGAAAGAAGGAAGTATGATTCAGAGCCCTAATTTAAAGTTTTTCCATAGCTCACATGAACAGAATAACGCTAATAGCTCACAAAGACAAGCATTACCACTGCCAGAAAATAAGTTAAGTTTTATGGACATAATTACCATAGAGACTGACCATTAGACTATTGGCTATTATTTATCAACATTGTTTAAGATAATGGATTTTTTTTTTTAATGAAGGTTACTTTTTTTGTTAACCCTCACCTGAGGATTTTTTTTCCTATTGATTTTTAGAGAGAGTGGAAGGGAGGGAGTGGGGGAGAGGCAAGAGTGGTAGAGAAAGAAAGAGAGAGAGAGAGAGACACAGAGCGACAGAGAGAGAGACATCGATGTGAGAGAAACACATTGATTGGTTGCCTCCCAAACATACCCTCTACTGGGGCCAGGATGGAACTGACAACCCAGGACGTATCCTTGACTGGGAATCAAATCCTCAACCCTATGGTGCACTAGCTAACATTCTAACCATTGAGTCACCCTGGCCAGGGCTAAAGCTTAATTTTTTTAAATTATTATACAGAAATTAGGTTAGGTTAGGTTTCTTATTGTATAATATTTACCCAGAGATTAGCTTTTAAGGTAAGGAATTAGGTTTTTTTAATAACTTTTACTTTATTATCATACAGTAGAACTAAATATTTTTAGTGTACAGTTCTATGAGTTTTAATACATGTATCAATTTCAAATCACAACCATAATCAAGATTCAGAACAGTTCCATCACTCCCCAAAACTCCCTCAGGCTATCCACCACCTACTTCTCACCCACAACCCTTAGCAACTACCAATCTGTTCTTCATCTCTATAATTTCATCTTTTGAGAATGTAAGAAGGTGTTTTAACCTTAGATATAGATGCTAAAGTATGTATTACAGCTTATATAAGAATAACTGATCTATCTAGAAATAAGTCAGTTAGTTCTACCCAATTCTAAATAGCATTGTTAGTTACATAAAATATATTAATGAATACTGCTTCAGAAAGCAAGACAAAGAATTGGTCCTGCTCTCTTCCTAATTCAAAGCATGAATGTTTTATAAATACATACTGTTTTTACTATTATCATCACCAGTTTGATTAGCTTCACACTTAGAGCATCAATTTTTCAAAGCAACAGTTCCTTTTTCTCTAACTCCTAATGTGTATGCCTATCTATAAACAAGCTGATT